CGCGACGTGCGCATCGTGCTGGCCGGCGACCCCGACGTGGGCAAGTCGACGCTCATCACCTCGCTCGTAAAGGAGGCCTACGTCGCAAAGGTGCAAAAAGTCGTCCCGCACATCACCCTGCCACCCGAGGTGGCCCCCGAGGGCGTCGTCACAAAGATTGTCGACACCAACTCCAACCCCGAGCACCGCACCAACCTCGAGGCAGAGCTCCGCCGCGCCAACGTCATCTGCATCGTCTACTCGATCTCGGCGCCCTCGTCCTTCGACCGCATCCCCACCTACTGGCTCCCCTACATCCGCTCCCTCGGCATCAACGTCCCCGTCATCCTCGTCGGCAACAAGATCGATCTGCGCTCCGGCGACGTCACCAACGCCGCCCTCGAGGACGAGCTGGCGCCCGTCATGGCCGAGTTCAAGGAGGTCGAGACCTGCGTCGAGTGCAGCGCAAAGATCCCCCTCAACGTCAGCGAGGTCTTCTACTTTGCCCAAAAGGCCGTCCTCTACCCGACGGCGCCCCTCTACGACAGCCGCGAGCACGCCCTCAAGCCCGCCTGCGTCGACGCCCTCAAGCGCATCTTTCGCCTCTGCGACAGCGACAAGGACGGCCTGCTCAGCGACGCCGAGCTCAACGACTTCCAGCGGAAATGCTTCGATGCGCCCCTGCAGCTGTCCGAGCTCGAGGGGATCAAGGACCTCGTCGCTCAGGCGCCCATCGGCGGGCCCTACTTTAACCTCTACGACGGCAGCGGCAGCGCCGCCGCCTCGACCAGCTCGAGCGCCCACAATGGCGCCGCCGGCTTCGACGCCGCTTCGTCGCACCACCCGCACCACTCGCAACAGCACCAACAGCACCCGCATCTGCGCGACGGCAGCCTCACCATGGCCGGCTTCCTCTACCTCCACACCCTCTTTATCCAGCGCGGCCGCCTCGAGACGACGTGGACTGTGCTGCGCTCGTTTGGCTACGGCGCCGACCTGACCCTGGAGGACTCGTTTGTCAAGCCGCCGTTTGCCGTGCCCGCCGAGTGCTCGGTCGAGCTCTCGCCCCACGGCTACCAGTTCCTCACCGACATCTTCGAGGCCTACGACAAGGACCGCGACGGCGCCCTCTGCGCCGCCGAGCTCGACCACCTCTTCCTCCTCGCACCCGACGGCCGCCACCCATGGGAGGGGACCGGATTCCCCGAGAGCACCATCACCGACGAAAACGGCGCCGTCACCTTGCAGGGCTGGCTGGCGCAGTGGTCCATGACGACGCTTCTCGACCATCGCACCACGCTCGCCTACCTCGCCTACCTCGGCTACCCGTCCTTCCCGCAGACTGGCGGGGGCGCGGCAGGGGGGTCCGGCGCGGGAGGCGCGGGTGGGCGCGGCACGAGCGGACGCTTTGTGCCGTCGCCAATACCGCTCTCGCCCAGCGGCCCGCCCGGCTCGCGCGGCTCGAGGAACCACACGCCCTCGCCGCCGCCCGTCACGACTGCGCTCAAGCTGACGCGGCCGAGGCGCGCCGACCGCAAGAAGAAGGGCGCCGTGCAGCGCAGCACGTTCCTCGGCTTTGTGCTGGGCGCGGCGGGCAGCGGCAAGACGGCCATCCTGCGCAACATGGTGGGCAAGCGCTTCGAGCCGGCCTATGAGCCGACGCAGAAGATGATGAGCGTCGTCAGCACCGTCGAGCAGGCCGGAGCCGAGCGGTACCTGGTGGTGAGTGCAACATGACGGGGCGGTGCCGCCGACGCCGCCCCGTTGCCGATGTTTGGTCGACGGACCGCGCTGACTTTTGTTCCTTGCTCCTCGACCTCTCTCTCCACGCTTACCTTGATTGCGCCGCCTGCCTCCTCCTCCTCCAGCTGCAAGAGTTCGGCTCGCGGTACGAGGCCGAGGTGCTGCGCAACTCGTCGAAGCTGTCGGCCGCCGACGTCGTCGTCTTTGTCTACGACTCGAGCGACACAAACTCGTTCAGCTACATTTCGAACCTGCGGCAGCAGTACCCGCTGCTTCAGTCGATGCCGTCGCTGTTTGTGGCGACCAAGGCCGACCTGGACCTGGCGCAGCAGCGGCACGAGGTGCAGCCGGACGCCTACTGCCGCAAGCTGGGCCTCAAGATCCCCGGGCTGGGCGCGGGCCCGCTGAGCGTGAGCATGCGCGACGGGCAGGTGGCCGACCTGTACGGCCTCGTGTGCGGCATCGCCGTCGACGCGCGCGGCGCCGTGCAGGGCGGCAACGAGAGCAAGGCGCTCAGCTTTGCCACGAACCGGTGGGTGTTTTGGGGCTACGTCGTCGTCGCCGTGCTCGGCGGCAGCGGTGCGGCCTACGTCGGCTTCCGGCTGCTCCACCCGAACGCCGTCGGGCTGTCGTCGTCGTCGTCGTCCGGCGGATGGAGACCCTGGTGGTCGCCCGCCTCGTCGGCATCCCCGAGGTCATCGGTGGGCGGGGCGGGCACGCACGGCGGTGCGGGCGCAGGACAGGGCGGTGGGTGGCTCGAGTGGTTATGGAGGCAGTCGGCGTCGGGCAGCACTGGGAGGAGCGAGCTGTAGAATCGCACGTTGGATCTGTCGACAGGTCAGGCTGGGGCTCAACGTCGCCATGGCCCCCTACCTCTTCGCCAGGAATGCTACACCAACGCCGCTCTTCGGTCTCTCTGTCTGTTTTCGCGCCGCGTCACACGAGCCGGACCTCTCTCGATCGACATCGATCGCCGTCTCTGGGATCTTGAAGTGTCGTGCCCGGGCGTTGTCCGTCCCCTTTCGAGTCGGCTCGCCCAATCGCGGCGCCAGGGACGGCCCAGCATGGAAGTCGACAAGTGCTGCGGCGGATCGCGAGCGGGCTGGACCAAGCCGGGCGGCAGGTTGTATTGGCCTCGTCAAGGGGCCCAATACAAATCGAGGTGCGGTTTGGTAAGGCAGCGGCCGTCGACTACAAATGCCCCCACCCCTCACCACTTTTTTTCGCCCGAGAAAGAGGAGACTTGCGAGTGCGATGTGCCAGGCGAGGCGAGGAGGCCCGTCCGCTCTGGCCTGCCTGGCGCTGCCTGGCCTTGTCGCCTGGCCCTCTGTGCCGTTGTGGCCGCTGCTTGGCCGCCCGCCTGCTTGGCCGCACGCACGCCCACCCGCTGCTGGCTGGCTGGCTGGACGGACGCCCATCGCCTGGCCCTGGCCCTGGCTCTCATGCTTCCTCCTGGTGCGCCCGCCCGCCCGGCCGCCCTTTTGGTTCCTTCTCCCCGCACCATCAAGCACCGTCTCGTCCCGCCTCGCCTCGCCTCCTCTCTCCCCCGCCCCGCCCTGCTTGCCTCTCGCCCTCTTGCGCAACCGGCCTCCTCCTTCATCCTCATCCTCATCCTCCTCCACGACCCATCCTCCTCCACCCCCCTCGCTTTCTCTTCCACCCCCTCGCTTTCTCTTCCGCCCCGTTCCCCCCTTTCATTGCCCCTACTCGTGGCGTATCGCCTGTCGGCTGGGCAGTCCAGGGGCCAAGCTCGCTCGACCTCTCTCCGCGACGTCCCATCTCTCCTTGAGACCGGTGCGACGACGATCCGAGCGGACCTCAATCCCGTTTCCACGCGACTTGACCTAGGATCGTCTGTCCTCGAGGCGCTTGGGCGATTCTTGACCGGCGTACCTCTGCGCCCGGCTCGAGCTGCTCCCGCCAGGCCGCATTCCTTCTCGGCGCTGGCTCGACGACCGCCTTGCTACATCCCCTGCTTTTCAGTGCTGCGGATCAGCGCCTCTCTGCACCCACGACGCCTGTCTATCGCGCACGCTCTGGTCAGCTCGTGCATCGGTGGCTCGCCCGCGCCTTCGCATATCTCCCTATCGATCCGCCACGGACCGGGAGTCGAAGCAGGTCACCCGCCATCGCACCAAGGCGGCAGAAAAGCGTGACGCCCTTGATCGGTCCAACGTCTGCTTCGCTCGCACGCCCACCGACGACGGTCGAGACGCTCAGCACACCTGCTAGACCTGCGGCCGACGTGCTCTGCTCCGACGCCCACGCCCCTCGCTGTGCCCGCCACCTCCTCCCGACCTTGACTGGTCCGGAGGCCCATCTCTTCCGCCGCTCCCTTTCGCCGAGCAGCTTCACCTTGCGGCGCTCCCTCTTCTGAGATCGCTCAGCCGTTGCCCTTCCGCCTGCGTCGATTCGTGTCAGCTCGCACGCTTTGCTTGACGAGTCCCTTGGTGGGATCGCGAATCAGCAGGCCCTCGGACGCTGCACAGGACCAGCCCAGCCCAATCGGAAGGACGGGAGCCAATCTCGCTCGGAACGTTGACCTAGCGACATCATGGCTGCGCCAAACTACCGCGGAGCCGCGGCCCGTGGCGCATCAAACGGCGCCGGCGGACCGGGCAACCGCAACAGTGCCTACCTCGGCGGTGGCGGCCGAGGCGGTGGCCATGCTGGCGGTGGTGGCGGCGGCAGAGGAGGCGGACCCCCTCCTGGCTCTCGCTGGGGAAGCGGGCCGCCATCCAACACGTCGTCGCCCGCGGGTAGGCAGAATCCCAACGCTGGCGGCGGCTACCGCGGGCCGGCGGTCAACAATGCACCTCACCAGCACAGCCAGCAGCATCAGCACCAGCAGCACCAGCAGCACCAGCAGCAACACCAGCAACAGCAGCAGCAGCAGAACAGCGCCTCGGCCGCCTTCCCGTCGCTCGGCGGCGTCGCCAACCTCGACGAGGCGCAGAAGCTCAACCGCAACCGCATGCTCTTCCTCCTCGTCTCGCTCGTCGTGAGTGTCTGCCCGGTCTTGCCTGCAGCCTAGCCGATGCCTGATGCGGCAGCGAAAGCGCATCCGTGCTATCCTGGCAGAGCTTGAGGCTATCCCTGTTCTGCGTCGAGCCGGATCGCCGCGCCGCGCACAGATCGCTGACGCCTGTTTTCATCCACCGCTCCGGCCCCTCTCGACGCACAGGGCCACTGTGTCACCGTCCACACGCGCGGCGGCGTGCGGTACTTTGGCATCCTGTCGTCGGCCAACGCCGACAGCGGCGACCTTGGCGTTGCCATTGCGTCGGCCCAGGAGATCCTCGCTCCAGGGGCAAAGGACGGCAAGCCTGAGCTGGGCCCGCTCAAAAAGATGCTCGTCATCCACGGCAAGGACCTCGAGAGCGTCGAGGCCTCCGAGGTGCGCATCGGGGACCAGGAGCGCGAGATGAAGGAGGCGCGCGACAAGGAAGGTGAGCCAGCGACTCGACTGCCAATGGACAGATCCGGGCCGGGCCCTCAAAGACGCGGCTTCCTGTCCGAGCTCGTGCTGATCCGTCCGCCACCGCCACTGCCACCGCCTCTCTCTGCCACTCTCTCTAACGACACCAGCCTTCCGCACCGACACCGAGATCTCCCGTTCGGCCGACCCGCTGGGCAATGGCCGTGCGCTGCAAAAGTGGTCCGACGACCCGGACCTGGCCGATCTCGACAGCGGGGTGCCCGAATGGGCGGCCGACGGCGACGGCGGCTTCGACGCTTCCAGCGGCACCAAGGGCTGGGACCAGTTTGCCGCCAACGAGAAGCGCTTCGGCATCAAGTCCGACTACGAGGAGACGCTCTACACCACCACCCTCGACCGCTCCGGCAAGGACTTCAAGGAAAAGGAGCGCCAGGCCGACCGCATCGCCCGCGAGATTATGGGCCAGACCACCAGCAACCCGCACCTCGCAGAGGAGCGCGGCCAGGCCGACGACTCGGGCGTCAACGAAGAGGACAAATACGGCGCCGTTGTGCGCAACCCGAACGCCTACGTGCCGCCGGCGCTGCGCAAGGCGGCGGCTGCCGCTGCTGCTGCTGCTGCTGCTGCCGCTGGTGGAAAC